ATTCTGTTGCTCGAAATATATTATAACTCATGAATCAGTAGGCTGTCGTGCGTGATTCCATTTAGGTCAGTGTAAATTGCCACCAACACATCTTACCTCTAGTCCTGCTCTCCCTTTTACTCACAGTCACCATATTCACAAGAACTTTGCCGAATATTTTGCTACTCGTTCCTTATAGGTACTCATCAAATTAAGTACAGAAATTACACCAGATATGTCATGTTTCATACTCTTAATAGTCTACATTGGATAGAGTCCTAACATATATGTTACTATTTATACAAAAGTTATTTATGTTTAGAAAGAATTCATAATACTCTAGAATATCTGTACGTAGACCCTACATATTGTATTCCAGATTGGGTACGCTATAGTTCACAGGAGCCTTTGCCTCATACATAGAGCCTATATATGCATGCTAACAGTTTGCAACACATTTACCACACTATGTCCTTGTTTCCTGCAACATACGCTGTATCACAGAGCCCTTTTTCCTGTGGGGTTTTCTGTGTCTGGCGATGTAGTGGTTTCCGGCTCCATGACACTTATCTGACTTCCACGCTCTCTTTCTACTATATGGGCCGTAGCTCATAACTTTCTTCACCTGAGTCCGTTGTTCCTGTTCCTCTTCTAATCTTCTTAGTACAAGTACGCGCGTAGCAGCCCTACATTGCATTCAACGCGCTTTGCACTGGCAATTCTCTCCTGAGTTGCACACACAAGCGTCTGACATCATTACAGGACTAGCATCTATAATCTAACGTTACAACACAGCTATACATCCTCGAGAAATGTTTACAGTATTGCACAGGATACATATTAAGTTGCTTACTCTCCTTATGTGACCCGTGCTACCTCGGCAGCGAAGGCTTGAGCCAGGACGCTCTTGCTTGACCCCGGTACCCGGCCCGAAGTTCGCGGTGAGCTCGAGTTTCACCACTGCCCGAGCACTCTAGCCTGGGCGGCAGCGCAACGACTGTGTCTCCCCCCCACTCCCCCAAAAAAGCTACGAAAATAACTACCAGTTTTACCTTTTGTTTTTTTTTTGAAATGGATGTCTCATATTCTGTTACCCAGTCTCGCCTCTGCAAGTGCCGCTAAGGCTACTGATCTCTACTCCCCCACTTCACACTCTCGGTTCAAGCGATTATCCTGCTCAGCCCTCCTGAGTCGCTTGGGACTAGCCGAGGGGCATAGTGCCGGAGCCAGCCGCAAAAGACATGGGCGTACTTCTTGTATCATTATATCACTGTAGGAGCCAGTCAGTAGAATTTCGCACTCTACGCACTTCTGAGACCGCAATTATTCGCGCTGAGGTCTTCAT